TGGGGAGATTGAGATTGGGTTGTGATTTTAAAAAGGTCATGACTGGTCTCATTGAGGAGGTGACTTTTGACCAAAGGAGGTAAGGAGTTAGCAGTGTAGGTCTCTGGGGGAAGTATGTACTAGGCAGAGGGCACATCCCATACAGAAGCCTTATTGTGAGAACATAACTGGTATCTTCCGGGATCAACAAAGGAGGTGGCGAAGGCTGGAACAGAGTGATTCAGGAGAATGACTGGGGTGGAGTGACAAGCTGCAGTTATAGAACCTTTTGGACTGTTTTAAGGAAATAGACTTTTTTGTAATGAAAGTGATAGTAAAGCTTATTAGGAAGGAAATACACTTTCAATAGACTGGAAGTGAGTCAGAGAGAGGGAGAGAATGACAGGGTGTAGATTTTTACTCTGAATAAAATGAGGAACATTTAATGCATGATGACTTACATTTAATACAGGGATCGTAAGGACAAGAACAGGGAGAGTACTTAGAAGACTGATTCCAAGCAGGAATCAGTCAGATTCCTGGTAGGTCAGACCAGGAGCTAGCAGGGAGGTGGTGAGTGATGCTCTGATTTAGGATTAGACATGGGGTGTAAGATAAAGAAAGTATGATGCTAGGGTTTGAAATCTGAGAAACTTGACAGATGCTGTTATCAACTGAGACAGGAAAGCTGGCAGGCTAAACAGGTCTATGGGAGAATATTGTTCAATTTTTGACATGTTAGGTTTGAGATACACAATATACTGCAGTATTCAGGTGAGTGGTCTGAGCTGGAGATACACATTTGGGAGTTTTCATCATATTTGATAATGCTATACATCTTAGATGCTATTGGATGTCAAGAGATCACTAAGGTAATAAGTATAGATAAGAGAGAGAGAGAGAGAGAGAGAGAGAGAGAAGTCCAAGGAATGTGCCCTGGGTCACTCACTACAAGGTTGAAAGTTTTGAGAGAAGAGATGGCACCCGCAAAGAAGACAGGAAGCAACAATGATAACAACCAGTGATAAGCTGTGTCTGCTGTGATAAACAAGTCAATCAAGATGAGAGTTGATTATTGAATTTAGCCAATGTGAAGTTTATTGTTGATCTTGACAAGAATAGTTTTAATTAGAGTAGAGAAAAGCATGATGGAGTGGATTGAGGGGAGGGTGGGAGACTTACCATTTCAGCTGACAACCTAAAATATGCTGTAATTTTGTTGTTATGATTATACTAAAATATGTGTAGGTTTTTTTTTTTTTTTTGAGACAAAGTCTCGCTATGCAAGGCAGGCTGGTCTGGAAATCACTTGCCTCTCCCTCCCAAATGCATAGTCTTAACACACAAAAAGTGCTTTATATGTTCTTTAACTTTGTATAAATGTTATTATATTGTATGTGTGCTACTGTAGAGTAGGAGAAGAACTTGGGACAGTATTGCATAGAAAACTCTTAGGAGTTTCATTGCAAAGGAGGCAGAGAAATGATTGGCAGCTGACAGTGGAAATGGGTCAGGAAGAAAACCCTTGTAGGACTAGAGAAATAACAGCTGCTCATAAACTTATGGAAAAGAATCAGCAGAGTGGGGAGCATTGAGAATACAGAAGATGGAGGGATAATTGCTGGAGTGAAGATGATGATCTCAACTAGATGAGAAGGGACTGGAATCATTGACTTAGCAAAGGGACTGGTCTTTGCTAGGAACGTGGAAATTCAACTATGCTTGAAGGGAAAGTGTAGAAAAGGCTGGTATATGGGTATGGATAGATGTGATGCTGGGATACTGTGACCATTTGCTTATTTCTTTAATGTCTTCAATGAAATAGGAAGTAGGGTCATTCATTGGGAATGAGGATGGAGAAGAGGAGTAGGTTAGAGGACAGAGAAGGTATGCAATCTAGAAAGAATGAAAGAGGAAGTAGGATTGCTGGGCAGCACTAAGGTCAACCTGAGGTTTACAGTGATGAAATCAAAGTGAAAGTGGTCAGTGTGATTGTGTTTTTCGCTAGCCACACTCTGAAGCATGGGTGCTTCTGTGGAGTAGGTGGAGAGCTGGCTTGAGTCAGAATTGTGGTTTTGTCATGCACACACGCTTGACAAAAGGGGAAGACAAGAAGGTTGAGAATAATGTGCAAGTCATTATAATGACTGGCCAGGGGTTTCAGCTGGGTAAGGACTAGAGGGAGCCCAGGTGAGGGCTGAATTGTTGGAGTTTACAGTAATACAGAGTGACCAGGAAAGAAGCAAGCCACCATACTGTGAGCTTCCCCATGAAGTGAACCACATGGCAAGGAACTGAGGGGGCTCCAGGTGACAGCCAGTGAGGACGTGATAAAGTATAAGATGTTTGAAATTGGGATTATGAAGAAACTGCAGAGTTTGCTACTGCTCCCATGATTATAACCATGGAAGTGAGTGGCCGAATCAGGACAGAGGACAAGAGCCTTGAAGGAGAAATAAAGGAACTGAAAGGCCAGGATACTGGATGATCACCTAAGTATATATTACAACTCCTTTGGATTAGGACAGAAGTGGCACTGGGTGACTAAATGACAGCAGCAGATGGTGAGTGGAAAAAAAGGAAGCAGAATGAGGGCGATGATGGGAGTACTTCAGAATGAGATTTGAAGCTGCTGGTTCCTGGCTGGAGGCATCGGTCAGGAAGCATTGTTGATGAGCAAAAAGATACCACCCTCACCTCCAGGCTCATGGTTAAAAACATGGTTGCCAACTACATTAGAAGTGGAAGGGAAAGCCAGGTGTCCTTTAAACAAAAAGGTGAAGGGAATCCGAAGGGAGATTCAGAAGAGGCTGAGCTTATAAGGAATGTCATTTGCAGATATAAGTAGATAGTGTGGTGGATAGACTATAATGTAGATCCCTACCTCCTGGTGTTCATGCCCTTGTGTGATCCCTGCCCATTGAGTGTGATTTGCTTTGGGCCTTTTATGACTCTGTGTATGCCATCATGATACGTAAGACTATAACCAAGCCAACTAGAGGTGTGGTGGTGCACAGCCCTAGTCCTAGCTACTCAGGATGCTGAGGCAGGAGGATCACTTGAGCCTTAGGAGTTTAGTCTGGGCAACATAGCAAGACACTATCTCTTGGGGAAAAAAAAAAAGTAACCAGTGTCTTGACAAAACTCTCCCTTTTGCTGGTTTGGAAGAAGCAAGTTGCCATAATGTGAACGTATGGAGGACTACACATGGCAAAGAACTGAGAGGGCCTCCAGGTGATAGCCAGCAAAGGACCAAGACCCTCAGTTCTGCAGTCTGCAAGGAATTGAGTGTTACCAAAACGATGTGAGCTTGGAAGCAGATCCTTTTTCTCAGTGGAGTATCCCTTTGCAGAGGACCTAGCTAAGACGTGCCTGGACTCCATGGAAACTGTGAGATAATAAATGAGTGCTATTTTAACCCTTAAATTTGTGGTGTTATTGTTATACAATGGACAGCTAATATAGATGCAGTGGAAGAAATGTAGTGATAGCAATGTTATTCAATTTTAAAATCTCTTTCTGGGGTATTTTACTGAAGAATCAAATATTGATCTGCTACCAAAATATTTTTAATGATCTGTCAGCTGACAGATCTTTCTTCAATTTTATTGACCTCAAATAATTGGATTTGCAAAAACTTTTAACATCCATTCATTAAAGTCATTTGCTTTTCAGCATACCAAATTTTGAATTGTCCCTTTGGATTGTTCCAGAAGTGTTTTTATTTTACATCTTTAGTCACCTTACAAATGGGTGAGAATTTTGACTTTCCTTTGTAATGTGGGAAAGTCAGTTTTGAACAGAGACGCTGTATCCTCAGCTGCCTTCTCAAGATGAACAATTTTAGAAGCTAGTTCGTATGATAGTGGATGATCTGGAAATGAATTCCCTTAAATGTGGTCATAAACCTCAGGGATATGAGAGCACCACTTTGAAGATGACAGCTTCAGGGGCTTTCTGGTAGAAGAATGAAGAGACCGGTTATGATGGCAAGGGGCAGTGTGTGTGACTGACAGGAAGTGTGTATAATTTCTGGGCAACACTACCTAAGAAAGGGTTTAGAACTAGCTAATAATTAGTCTTACAGGAACCATGATGGAGGTGTTTCCTGGTTGGTAAAACAAACAAACAGACAAAAAAACACATGTAATTAGTATGTGTTTTTCTTTACCATTGAGCTACACCTTCAGCCTGACACTTAAGTTACAAAAGAAATGTATACGTCTTATAAAATTATCAAATATAGTTTAAAATCAAAAGCAGAGATTATGCTTTAAACTTTTTTTTAGTTTAAATTTTTAGTTTTTGATAGTGCTGGGATGGAATGGAACCACCCAGCCAGGGCTTCGTGCAAGCTAGGCAAGCCAGCTACCACTGATCTACCTCCCCGAGTCCAGGCAACTAATTTCAATTGCTTAATAGGAGTTCGGTAGGTCTCAAAAGCTGCTTCTAACTCGGCGACTTCACCTAAATCTCTTCCAACAAGAACCGGATGCCTTTCGTGACACCTGGCCAGGCTCCCTAAATGTGTGATTCCTTGCCTGGTCTGTGCAAAAGTCTAAACACTTAGCAGTTCGTGATTCCGAACTGGTCGGATGGAAAGGAGGGTGCAGCCATCGCCAGTTTCTTCCCCAAGTAAACCGCTACAACCATCCGGAGTTAGTGCTTGGCTGTTAAAAGTCTAATTCTTGAGCCCGCGCAGGTCCTTAACAAAACAGAAAAGCCCAGGAGGCCCGGGGGATCGCTCGGTACTGGACGCCGAGCTCTCTCTGCTGTGCTGCTATTGCAAAGGGAAGTCACTTTCTCTGATGACACCCTGGCCCGGAGCAGCTCTGCCACGGAGCAGGCCTCGCAGCTGCTCGCAGACTCCAGCTGTACGCGGACGCCTGCGCAGTGCGACCCTCGCGTCTCTGGGGGCGGGAGGCGGGAGCAGCCGGGAGAAAGGAGAGCTGCTGGGGAAAAGAGCCAAACCCTGAAATTACCCGGATGTGGTCTCGGCGCGCGCATGCTCAGTGTCTTCCCGACAAGTTGGCAGCAACAACACGGCCCTTGGTCGTCGTCGCCGCTGCGGTAGCGGAGCGGCTCGGGTGGCGAAGCCCGCGTTCGCATCTGCCTGCTGTCCTCGAGAGGCCCTTCCCGCCCGCCCCTCGGCTCCGCGGCCGTCCAGGGGGCGGGAGCGGGTGAGGGGAACCGAGCGCCCCGCAAGAGAAGCTTCCCCCCTCCCCCGCCGCGGGGCCGCCCGGGAGCTAGAGGCGGCCCGGCCCGCGCGGAGCGGCGCCGAGGGGCTGCCTGGCCCGGACGCCTTGGTGCGGGGACCGAGGAGCGCCCGGGGTTGCCGAGGGAAGCGACGGGGGCGCGGAGCAACCGCGGACGAGCAGCGGCGGGAGAACGACTCCCTTCGCCAGCGCCCGAGCCCAGGTAACGCGCCATGTCCCCTCCTCTTCCCCCGCCGGGCCCGCGCGCCCCGCCCGCGGCTTCCCCGCCCCGGGGCGGGGGCTCCCGGCGGCGGCCGCGGAGGGAGTGCGCGGGAGGCGGCGGATCCGGCTGGGCCGGCGGAGCCAGGGTGAATCGGGGTCTTCCGCAGGGCGGTCTGGACCGGACCGGGGCGAGCGAGCCACGGGGCCTTGAGCCCTTCCCCACCCTCTGGTTTCGTCGGGGTCGGTCCACTCCGCTCGCTGTTTCCCGGACCTTCCCAGTCAACTCGGAGGGGCTCGGCCGCGGCCGCCGCTCCTCTTTGTTGTTCGGCAGTAGTTTGGCCGGCGCCCGCCCGGGCTGAGCGCGGGTGTTGCCTTGGGTCTCAGTGAAAGTAGTAGATGCTTTGCCGTCAGTTCTTCAGCAGTTTTTTGTTTTCTCTTTGTTCCTGACTTTCTTTTCTGATCGGTGTACTTTTTGGGTTACTGTGGGCTATGGCGGCCTGCAGGAAACACACCTAGCACCTAACTGAACCTCCTCTCTCTCCCAATAAAGCGCGTCTGCTAATAAAAGACGTAGTTTATCTTATTGTCAGGGCGGCTTGCGCGGAGAGTGAAATCGGTGGAGGGCGTTGGCTCCGGCACATGCCCCAAATTGCTGTTACTGTTTCTCAAGCTAGGTTATCGGAATGGGTATGTGAGTTCACTTGTGAAAGGTGCCTTTGCGGGTGTAGACGGACATTAATTACAAAGCCATGTGGAAGACCGGTAAAGTCTTCCCCACCCTCCAAGCCGCAGTATACTTATTTTTATTTTAAAAACACGTTTAGCTTCAGTTATTTTGAGATTAGTTTCCCAGTACATTTAGTTTTTGATCGTAACGTAAGGTGCAATTATTATTTAGGAACTATCTAGGAATAATAACTATAACAACATAACGAGGAAATCATTTGAAGCACTCTGAATAGACTTTCTGCAAGCTTGTCGTCCTGGCTAATTTTTAACAACCTTTGGCTTTTGCCAGATTTAGCATCCTTTTTGTCTTGAGTAGCAGCTTGATTCAAGTGTTTTAAAAGAAATAGATTCAGTACTTTTCGCTGGCAGAAACCGTGTGGAGTCTTTAATTGAAAATGCAGAAATACATAATTTCATAAGGTAGTCAGATTTGAATAATTTTTATTTATAGATTTCATAAATTACCTATGCCATGTGGTACCAAAACTAAACATACTTCAGATGAACTTTTTTCCTGCTAAGGACTTAATTTCTCTATACTGGAAAGTTTTGGTATGATTAATATCTGATACTCCAAAGTACAAATGATTGATACGATTAACATTTAAAAATATGATTTCTCCTTACTATTTCTTAAATAATGCTGCCCTGATTTTGTTTCCATGACTGAGTTTGTTACAGAGCAGATGTAATAGAAGCAGAGACGCCTACCAAGAATTGATGATTTGGAGTAGCTTTAGGGCCAAAGGTGGTGATGAATGATGAGTTTATGTAAGTTAAACAAAGCCTTTCTAGAGAAAATTGACAGCATTTTGTGAATTTTCTAATGGAAGTGGCTTATTTTTTTTTTTTTCTTTCCCGATTATTGAGTGAGTTTGCTTTAAAGAGGTACTGCATTTTAATTTTTGAAGGAGTGTAGCTAGGTACCTTCAGTGTAAAATTTGAGTTTAGGGGGAAAAAAAAAAACCAGCGCGGGGGTGGGGGGGGCGGTGGAAGGGAAACAGCTGCAAATCTGTTTCAGAATTAATGAAAATTTGTGCTGAGCAAGTTACTTTGAAATACTTTGGAGTGAGTTTTGTATGTATCATTCACCTTTTATAATTGCTTGAAGCAATTTTACTAGGATGCAGCAAATCTTACTTTTGAATATCAGTGCTTCACTTAAGCTACATTTAGTTGAGGTGATTCTCTATTTGTGTGTGAATTCTTTTTTCAGCATTTCTCTTCAGACTTTTACCACTAAATTAATGAGAAAGCATTAAACTGATTTAACAGCCTAGTCACACTCCAGCTCTTCCACTTGGAAACTTTTTCTGATTGAGCCAGAGTTGTAGTAACATCGTTAGACACTGTTGTAATTGAGCTGTGAATTGCTGGGCCTTTCTCTACTAGGACAGTTAACTACAGAATCTGCAGGGTTCATTACATTTAAAGTGCATGTTTAGTCTTCTTTAAATTTTTTTTTTTGGCGGCACTGGAGTTAGAACTCAGGGCCTCACACTTGCTAGGCAAGCACTCTACTGCTCGAGCCACTCCACCAGCCCTTAGTCTTCTTTAAATTTTTGCCTGTTTTGGTGAGAACAATTTTCTGATGTTTAAACTCACATCAGTTGTTTTTATCTCCTACTAGTTCATGTCTTTTTTTCCCTTCATTTTTCACTCCGATTGGTGAGTTAATGGTTCTTTAAGCATCTTTTAATCATTGTATATGTACTTCTCTTTTTTTTTTCTTTTCTAGGAAATTGTGTTGTTAGACAGTTTTTTTTTTCCCTTAGGGTGATGAAGAATTGTGAGTACAAGGTTATTCTTGATCACGTGTAAAACTAACCTGAAAGGCTGAGTCTCATGGCTCACCCTTGTAATTCTAGCTACTCTGGAGGTAGAGATTGAGAGGATTGAGATTCAAGCCCACTCTGAGCAGAAAATTAGGGAGATCCTCATCTCAACAAACAAGCCAGGTGTGGTGGATGGTTCATATCTCATAATCTCAGTTACTTGGTAGGCATAGATAGGAGAATCTCAGTCTGAGGCTAAAATGTTAGATATAGTGGGAAAAACAGACTTGGGCCTGGCTCAAGTGGTAGAGCACTTACCTAGTGTGAGGCTCTGAGTTCAAAAGCCAATACTGCCAAAAAACCAAGCCAAACTAAAACATAAAACTGACTGACATGGTTTAATTGATTACATTATTTTCTATGCTAAATGAAAGTTAAAGGAGTTAGACCAGCATAACAAAGCATTTAGGACAGTTTTCTTAAGTTATCAAAATTTAGGCTTTTCCACAGTTGAAGAGTTGTTTGAACTTGACAAATATGTATAGCTGTCATTCATTTGAGCTACTTTCAGTATGCTACTGTGTACATCATAATATCCTGAACATATGATAAGTCAGATTTAACATTGTTGGATTTTTTTTTTTTGTTCTTCTTTGTAATTTTGATGATGGTAAATTTGGCTGAATTCCAGTTTCTCAGGAACAAGATATTTTAGGTTGTGTCACCTTGACACTATTACATGGTGTAATTGGCATCCAGGAAAATTTATTTAAACATGAGAGAGAATGAAAACTAGGTAGCAGTTACATATATGAAACTAAGTTGGTGTGTGGTCAGATTCTTATAATTTTACAAGGTTCTTACAGTTTAAGTCTTGATAGGTCAGGCAGCTATCAAGTTGATTGTAAAGTGGGAAGGTCTATTGTTAAATCTTATTTTAAATTTAGTGATAATTGTAAATAGCTTTCAGCACAAGGACTATATTTCATTATATTTTAAATGGGAGGTTTTTTTTTTTTGCAGCTTGGAAAACTTGTTGTTGTATGGGTATTATCCTTTTATTCTCTGTGTGTGTTGTGTCTCTCCCCCATCCCCTACCAGAATGCTAGGCAGTGCTCTGCCACAGCTGTAACCCCTAGCCCTTTTCATTGCCTTTTTAATCCCAATGTTTAGGGCAGCAGCTTTCAATCTTAGCGGTGCATTGAGATTTTTTTGGAGTGTTTTGTAAAACACTGCTGCCTGAATCCTACCCACAGAATTTTGATTCAGTTGGACTGAGGTGCAGCCAGTTCAGAGACCCATAGTAATTGAGCCATCAAAGTCCTTTGCTCTAGTAGTACTGGAGTTTGAACTCAGGACCTCACACTTTCGAGGCAGGTGCTCTTCCACTTCAGCCAGGGCTCCAGTCCTTTTGTTTTTGATGTAGGGATCTTTGCCCAGGCTGACCTTGAACCTGAGATCTTCCTGCCTACTGAACAGCTGGGATTACATGTATGTTGCCACCACACCTGACTTCTTTCCTTATTTTTCAGTTCGTTTGTACTGTCCAGTAGCAAGTTTGAGGAAGCTGTATTTCCCCTGATGAGAAGTTGGTATACCATCATTATTTTAAGTAGGAAATTGGTTTTGTTTTAAAATACTATCCTCTCAAATGCTTACTTGTGCTCCTTTTAGGAAGGAGAAAAAGAAAGAAAAAAATGAATTTAGGGCCCTAAATTAGCATTAGCATTTAAACTCCCAGTGGAGTTTGATCTTCTTGGGGGGATAATCTGCCTGGAAATCATAAAATTTTCTAGCTACCAGTTAACTGGTTACTTCACTGGCTCCCAAGGGGAAAGTTGCATTGATTTAGCTTTTGCTGTCAGGCTTAATTTATACACTATAAGAAAGTTGCTCAACTAGCCCAACTAGTTGGCAGTTCTGTAGCGATCATCCCGCAACATGTTCACTTCTCTCTTTTTTTGGCATTACTGGGGTTTGAACTCAGAGCCTTGTGTTAGCTAGGCAAGAGGCCTACCACTTGAGTCACATCTCTAGCCCTTCACTTCTCCTTTTACTCCCCCCACCCTGCCCTTTTATTTTTGTTTGTGCTGTGGATTGAACCCTGGGCCTCCCAACATGGCCAGACAGGTGCTCCACCTTGCAGTTACACCCTGTCCCTGCAGTTGAAGTTTTCCATTTACATCGCCTGAAGAACCCTCAAATGCTGGTCTATAGAGTAGTTGCATCTCTGCCTCTAGAAAGAACTATTTAAAAAATATTTTTGACATCCTGTCTAAATACACACACACGCGCCCCTGATTCAGAATGAGAATGGAGTGGAAGAGGCATGGTAATCTATATTTTAAAGAAAGCCCCTCTTGATTGTGAAGGTTTTCATTATTAATAATGCTTATTCTTAATTCTCTTTTTTAAAACTACAGTACAGACTTTACCTTTGGTCTTCAGTACACTATAGGTACCTTATAGGTTTTAAACCCCGATTTACATGTTTTGA